AGCTCCTCTTAGTATACATAACATTTTATTTTGTTTATGTGGTCGTTGTTTTTATATTAACTGTGGTTTTAAAGTGTAGTTATTAGTACCAAGATTAATGAATAGAAATTATAACGTATACTCAGTTTAACTGTCATATCAGTGAGCCATATAACACACAGTTTGTGTCTAAGGAATTTAACAAGTCATTCCCGCCTCTATTTCGTTATGAAGAGGAATATAAATGCCATGTGATGTTCATTACGCATTATCTTTTCCACAGTTTATTGATACATTCTCGCTCTGTGGTTCTGAACTTTTAATTGGTAACTAAGATAAATGAAAAAAATAGGGTTTTTCTTTCCTAACTGCTAATCTCTGTAACAGGTGTTTGTCAAACAACATATTATAATTCAGTATCCATTATCAGTAACCCACACCTTCAGTGTAGTCAAATCCAGTAATCATTATCAGTAACGCACATTTCCCCAAAACTTCAATTCAGAATTTATAATATAATTATGATGACTATTATTATTTTTTGTTTACAGCATTCATAAGTGTCAAGGCATATGCAATTCTGTAAGAGGGAGACATATAAAAGGTAGTACTGATAGGTGGGAGGGAGAGAGGGAGGGAGGGAGAGAAGGAGAGAGAGGAGAGAGAGAAGGAGAGAGAGAAAGAGTGAAAGAGTGAAAGAGTGAAAGAGAGAGAGAGAGAGAGAGAGGGAGAGAGAGAGAGAGAGAGAGAGAGAGAGAGAGAGAGAGAGAGAGAGAGAGAGAGAGAGAGAGAGAAGTAGAGAGAGAAGAGTGAATGAGTGAACAGTGAGAGAGAGAGAGAGAGAGAGAGAGAGAGAGAGAGAGAGAGAGAGAGAGAGAGATGAGAGAGAGAGAGAGAGATTTGTAAAATATATATCAGCCTTGGGTGGGGCAGAAGGGAGGGGTGAGGTAGTAAGTTGGGATGGTGAAAAGTAACAACAACAATAATAATAATAATAGTAATAAAAATCAGTCAATCAATTTCGAGTGACATGGGGAAAGAGATATGGGCACTGGCAGTCTCTTCTGAGTCTAATTATGAAATTGAAAGCACACACACAAATACAGACACACACACACACAATTATGCAAATACACATGCCAGTATACAAACAAACACACACAAATAATAAATAAATAGTATTTTTAAAAGATAGAGAAACAAAAAAATTAACCATCTTATCTATGTCGTTCCCAAGAGTATATTTACATCTACATTTTTAGCTCTTCATGTCCTACATGTGAGAAAAAAGCAAAAAAAAGTAATCACATCCAAGACCTTATAGGATTTCATCATCATCCTCATTGGGGAGCTAATGCTGCATCCATCCTTCGCTTCCATCCAGGGGGTCCCTCGGCCCATCTCTAGCTCCTTGCAGCAAGTCTGGTCGAGCTGCCTCCTAGGTCATTCCACGGGCCTCCTCCACCCAAGATCATCTCACAAAAAGGCAGCCTGATGGGCAAGGTCACTCACAAGTAAGCAAACTAGATGTCCATATAGCCTCAGTTGGCGATCACGAGTTATGCATGTAACGGATCCCATGCTGGTCTCACGGTGTAGCCCTCGGTTGGACACATGGTCTTACCAACTGTACCCCATGATCTGACTTTTGTTGATCGAGTTCTGGTTCCTGCTGCCAGGCCAATCCATCTACTGACTTCTTGGTCTGACAGCCCAGAGACATGGACTATGCTACCAAGGTATGTAAAGCTCTCTGTGACTTCAGCGTCTTCACTGCAGGCATATATTGACTGAACAGGTTCCCCTAACAGGTCCCCAGAATCCTGGATCTTGGTCTTGGTCCAGGAGACCTCTAGGCCCAAGGGCTTTGCCTCATTGATGAATGCATCAAGGGCTACCACTAGAGATTCCAGAGACTCTGATAGGATTGGCATCATTGGCAAAGTTGAGGTAATTTTGATATTGTCCAGTGTTACCACACATTGACTTTAGATAGTAGTTATACCTATTATCTAGTCCAAGTGCAAATGTTGAAAAGTGTTGGTGCAAGGAAACAGCCTTGCCTCGCCCCTGAATTAACAGGGGAGAAGTTTGACAGGCCCCCACCACACTTTACAGCACTTTCAGTACCAATATATAGGCTTGCAATTAAAACAATAATCCATGTTGTAATTCTGCTAAGTCTCAGGATCTCCTATAGCAATTTGCGATGGACTGTTCTTCCATATGGTTTCTTAAATATCTAATTACTGATTCTTTGTCTAGTCACATAATATGTTAAACTATCCTTTTTAACCCAATGTCCCTAGGACAATGTAGTGTTCAATGCAGTAGTGTTTTGTGAAATATCTTCATACATAAATGGCTCAACAAGTGCTTAGCCAACAAGGAGTGAATTAGTAGACACGCAACATCATCTGATTTCATCTCTCCTTGAGTTTTCAGAGATTATTTTGTTTAAATTAATGCTGTTATTATTATTATTATAGACATCATAATTATTACAATGTTATTGACATTACTAATAGTAATATATGACAAAATAATATATTTCCAAAAATCAAGGAAAAGGGTAAACAGGTGAGATATGTAGTACTAGTAACTGGCTCATTGGTGACAAAGTCCTTGTGGCCTCAATTACACAGTCTGCAAAGGCTTCCTCTATACATTAACCAAGAGCTAGGCAGAAGGAAATTTCTCAATTCTCACAGAGCTATCTGACAATTTTTAAAGGACATGACTGACGTTTCTCGCTTGCATACACATAGTGAGGGCAGTAAATATGGGGAGTAAATAAAGAACAATACTTCAGATAGAGGAGGTTAGAAAAACACTTTTCTATATAGAAAATGTAGGTTTTATTAAAAATGTCCAGTTCATCTCTTTCTCCTTATGTTGGAACTTTACAAGATATCAGCTGAAAAAAAAATATATTGCAACAAATTAGCATCTTTCCTTGGGTATGGGTATTTGAACATCCCTAAATATCCTTTGCAAAAGCAAGTGGTAGTGGTGTCCATTGCAAACAACATGTACAAGTACTGTACACACATGTTTGTGGCATCACTATATTTAGCTAAGATCAGATGGGTATGTTATGTTAATAAACATGAAAAACATAGGTACAATTATTGACAATAAAAAAATATATGAATGGTAAAGGCAAGGGATGAAAGTTTTGATATCCATTATAAAAAAAAAAAAAATATCCTGATCTAATTCAAGCTTATAGATAAATCTTGCCAATCTCCATACAAGATAAATAAAATAGCCAAAAGTAATGTTTTAGTGACAATGCCCTTCAGAAAGTAATAATAATCTTTCATTATAACAATGGAATACATCTGCATCAGTAGAGATATAAAATAATAAAGCATATGTGAATTAATTTATGTTTCATTCTTGTTGATTATCATATGTTTAAAAGGTCTTATCAATATATATCAAGTATAATATTAAAGTAATGAAGTCAGTCTTACCTGTGTGCAGTATGGACACTCTCCAAAGATAAAGTTCATACTCTGTCGACTATTTGGTACACTGCACAGCCACTGTGGAAAAAAACAATTTTGATATCAAACTGCTATCTTGTTTCTCAATATTATTAACACATTTCAAAGATATTTTATACTGAAACTTTTTGGTAGATATATATGTAAAGAATTATTTGCATAAACATATTATATATGCAGTGATATAAAATCAAATATACTTCAACATAGATTTACATTTTAAATTTACAGTGGTGATGCCTATGTATAAGCACTGTTCCCTGTGGTTTTGTTTTATTAATTTTATGCACTGATGGCTCCAGAAGCACTTACTTACCAAGGTGTCATCTGTTTATCTTAACTTTTATTTTTATATCTATTGCTATTATTAATGTTGATAAAGTTACAATGATGATGATATTAATAACAGCAATAACAACCTTTTTTTCTTCCAAAAATGATAAAAGTGTTGAAAAGCAGTAAGATCAGATGGCTCTTTGCTAAAACCAAACCAGTAAACAGGTCATACACTCAGCATTAATGATAATATATATATATATATATATATATATATATATATATATATATATATATATCTTTTAAGGCTTTTATTATATATATATATATATATATATATATATATATATATATATATACATATATATATATATATATATATATATATATATCTTTTAAGGCTTTTATTATTTTACATGACCAGTTATAGGAACACCTAAATAATCACAGAACCTATAAGGTTAACTAACCTCATACAGACACTGCACATGAAATGCCTGAGAGCAGTGATCACACGTCAAATCAGGCAGTGCCCCCTCAAGGTGAAGGCAATAGCACACAGCACATTCAGCACTCCAGTCACTTCCACCGGCATCTTCCCCGCTTTCTTTACTTTTTGCTTTTACCACGTCAACCCCAAGCACTATTTCCAGATTGCTGACGATGCTTCTTTCTGGGTCCCATTCCTAAGGGAGAAGAAGAAAAAGTAGAAAAAATAATCAGTCATGTGATGCGAAGGGGAGGAAAACCCATATATGTACATACCTCTCTATGTGTTGTGGAAAAATTTCATTCTCCAACATAATGCGAGGAAACAGAAACTTGCATTATAATTGTTTGTGAGTCTGGCATTGAGTGGTGCAGTCAGGTGAGAAGAGCCCAGAAGATGGCACTGAGGCAGACTGCGAGGGTGGGCAATGGATACTGTTAACTGGATGCTCACATGATTACCTAGGCACAAGAGATATACATCAGGAAAGATTTTTTAAAACCTGCCATTCATTATGAAAAAAAGAAAGAGAGAAAAAAAAAGAAATACACAATGAACGATCAATGCTATAAAAATCTTATCTTTAAATACTAAAAATATCATGAAATTATTGGATTTTCAGTTTAAAAAGTTTTATAAATAAATATGTTTAGTTGATGGGCTTGACTCAAAGAATGTCAAAATACCAATAATTATCATCTTATTCTTACCCTAGCTTAGTATCCAATAAAGAATATGACCATCATAAAATCTGATTAGGATAATTTGATATTTAGAAATTCACTCTATAAAAGGCAGCAATATGAATTCTGTTTATTCCATTCCTTATTCATGCTAAAATAACCAAACCTTTGTCATAGTTCAAATGAGCATATGCACTTTTACCATTTACTGTTATGATAAAAAGTGTAGTTCTTTAAGGGACTTCTCAAAACTTTATCAAACACATAATTAACAGGGAACATTACTAGATTATATAGCACCACAGGATAAATTTCCAGGTATTCTACGATGTGCAAAACTCTTCAGTTCTTAAATCAAGTGCTTACTGTGCCAAATCAAATGGACAGCCAAATATGATTCTTACATCTCAATTTCCTCGGTCATCCTTAATATGAAAAACAAAACAAAAATAAAAGGAAGGAAAGAAGGAAGGGAGGGAGGAAAGAAATAGAGAAAGAAAAAAAGAAAGAGAGAGAGAGGTAGAGAGACAAGGCCACGCTGGAAAAGAGCCACAAAGCAAAACAACGGCACAAAAATCTCACTTAAAAGGATTCTGCGAGAGGTGTGCTTCCGCGTGGGGTTTGGAGGATCGAGCACGAGGGCCGTCTCATCAAGCTCGTCCAAAACGTCCCAAAGCTCCTGGAGGGTGGAGAGCTTTTCTTCCCATGCCGACATTATACACGACAAGCCCTCACTCTGAGGATATTGGGTAATGGGTATGAAGATAATACAAATTAAAGTACTGTCAACTTTAGTAATGAAAATACTGAAATAGATATTTGAAATTGTGGTAGATGTTATTATTGACATTATTGCAGCACATTTACACAATTAAATTACTGTCATTTTATTGTCTTAATTTGCTAAATTTGCAATCTGAAAGTAACTGATGATGACATGACTCTAGTTTTTATTAAGCTTATGTTACTAAAATATTGAGTAAGTAATATGAGCATATAATATTGAGGACTAAGAACTAATATGAAAGCAAATAATAATAATTCTCACAGACTTACAGTATTCCACGTAATATCGATGTCAACAGGCAGGTCTGCTTCGACAACAGGTTCAACAATAGGGTAGCCAGGCTGGATTTTGACTCTTAGACTGTGTAATCTTTCATTTTCATCTCTGAAAAAAGAAGATAAGTTGTTACTTTCTAGATTAGCATTTCTATTTTTTCTGCTTTTAATATATATCACACTAAATACTGTACCGAAGAAATTTGGTGATCAATTGTAAAATTATTTTTTACATAGTAAACTCCAGAAGTCAACTCACTCATTTTGTACAAAACAATACAAAAAAAATATACCATGCTATAAAAACCATGTTAGTTAAACCCACTTGGTCTCTAGATATATCATTGAGAAATCAGTTGAAACTTGGGACACTTTTGACCAGCCAATAGTTTCAATGTGAGAAAGGAGGGTAGTAAACATTGCATCTTGTGGCAGAGACACGCTATCTTCACTCTCAGTAGCTGCAGCCTGGAAATGGGATGGGGGATTAATGTATATCTTTTTGGATGGAGTTTTCATTATTTCTATCATATGTGAACCAGTGAGCTATATTGTTTATATGTACTATGCTAACCAAAATACTGAAAGGGATGTCTTTTGAACATATGAAATACAGAGAACTAAGAGTTTTTGTTGTTGTAAATTTGACAACATTCTAAGAGGTCAACTTTGCTTAAAAAATTGTAACAATTTAGTAATGTTTAAAATAAATTCTGTTATATACCTAAAATTCTTGGTTAATTCTTTCAGTATCTATTGCAACACTAGACTCAAGATGAAAACTGAGCAAATTTCTGTGATACAGAATCTTTCTTTACTGCATTAACCTGAAATCAATCTTACTTACACATATTTGTTGAAATTTTCTTAAATATTCCTGAACAGTACGGCAATCTTTCTCCTCCTGTGAAAAAAGTCAAGTATAGTGCATGATAAAAAATGGTAAGGAGAGATAACTAGAACAAAAGATTAATCTACATCTGATTTCAGATGTAGATTAATATGTACTTAATTCTAAAACAACACAAAGAAGACTCCACAGATCATAATTTCCATGGGTAGATCAATTAAAACAAAAAATGCTAAAAAGCCAATGAAAAAAGATTTGCAAATCAATTCTTAAAACAGCAGAGATTTTACCATGTACATTAGATGATATCTGTCAATAAAACATACCTGTGACAACTGCTCCTGACACCTTTTAATAACAGATGCCAGCCATGCATCTGTACTCAGTGTCATTCCCTTTACATCTGGAAAATGGGGAACTTCAAGGTGAACTTCATAATCATATCTCTGAAATGGTAAGTAAAGGTTTAAGAAGTCATGCTGTAATTCAGTTTTCAGGCTATTTTTTTCACAGTAAAATATGTACATATTAATAATCTAAATTAAATAATATAAATTAAATCTACAATATTGTAAAATTGACAAGTATACAGTTACAAAATAAAATCATAGCTCATATAAATCTATCACAGTCATCTCCTTGAGAGACAAAGGAGTTACTCAGATGGTTTTTAAATTTGTAAGTATCCTGTCAAGCCATATTTTCAAATTTCTCTAAAAAAGAGAAAAAAAAAGAACTTCATTCCTCACAATCCATTCTTAGAATGCCAAGTTACAAATAAAGGACACACAAAATCTCAAAGTTGGCTATCTTGAAAAATGAAAAACAAAGTGGACTAACCCCAACAGTCAGGAAGCCATGAAAACTTGTTGACTGAGAACCAAATGTTGGGAGGAGGAGGGGAAACTCCGTACCAAGGGATGCTCCTGCCATTGCATTCCTTCTGAAACATGTAAATATCAATGATAAATGAATGTTAGATTTCTAGAGATCAGCAGAATAATTAGATGTGTATAATACAGCGCAATATAAGATTTAAAAAAATATTGAGATTCAGATAACACCTTCTTATACTACAGATGACTATACTATAAATTGATTTTTGGGGGAGGCATGGGCATTTACATTTGTCTCATTCCTTCAAATACACTTGCTGAAAACATCATATAGACTATCTAAAATGGAATGTCTGTCTGTATATCATAAAATAATCATCCACCAGAAAAGATGGATATATCTATGTTTGGAAACTATATATACAAGTGTAAAAATGTAAGAGTCTCCCCTACACACTAGATGTAAAAAATCACACACGGACACACGGATATTTTAAATGGTTAGAAAACAGACATGCCATCAAATAAAAGATGCAAAAGTAGAAAAACAGAAGTTACTGTAGTCAAAGTAGTTCTATTATTTTTTAAGTTATTAGAATGAAGTACTGTAAGGAAATGCTAAATCTAAGACACAATTGTTGATAAGAAGACCAAACAAGAGTTACTGTTTCTTTTTCCCTCAAAGTGTTATAGGATGTATAAGACTACAGGCATTGCTAAAATGAAAGGAGAGTGTAGCGGCTACTTATACAGTGCAATCAATATGTCGAAAACTTGATCCTTATGTATGACAGAAAACTTTCCTGGACTCTTGATTCTAATGGTGTGCAATAACATCAGGAACTTGAAAGCAAAAAGAAATTTTCTTCTTCCTCAACTGAATCTGCTCCTTGATGTTATTGGGAATTCACCAAACTTAAATCAAATCATAACCAATAAAACTTAGTGACAGAATGTCAGATATGGACAATGTCTGCATTTGCACATACGTTTATGACAAGCTGGTATATATATAGTTTAGCATAACTCCTGTTGAACATGGTGAATGCAAGATGCTTAACAATGTTTTATACCTGTATCATCATGTAATCTTATAATAATCCCCACTGACAGAACAAACTAATTAAAGCTCAAGTTTAAAATGCAATGTGCAGAGCAGTGATTACAAATAATACACTTAAAAGTGTCCAGCACAACATTAAATTAGGTTTAAATACCGTATCGAGTAACAAAGAAAGTGAAGATATTACATTAGTTTTGGTCTAATACTGCCCATTTATAATCTGACTGGCAACGTAACTCATAATATCCAATCTATATCTACTGAATCATTACTAACATAACATTAATCTCTCAAACGAAAAAAAACACCAACAATACCTATTATTTTAAAACATTTAAATAGAACCATTCACTAAAACATCTCAATTTCCTTCCTTTTTACAACAATACGATCTATATCACCACAAGCCTCTCAGCTACAGCATATCTACAAACAAAATAAATATTAAAACTTCCATACGAACCGACTTCAAACTTTGTGCCCAAAACACTTCTTCTTCTTCTTCTTCTTCTTTTATAGGGTTTTAGACTTTTGAAGTCTATATTCCCTGGAGCTGTATTTCTTGGTTCTTCTTTGTTGATTGAAGTTCTTTATATTATATCTATTACTTTTGATCTTTGTAGGAAGATCTTGAAGTGTCTTAATATATAGTATTTCTTAGCTGGTGAATAGTCTGCGCCTGTTATTAAAAGAGACATATTTGGATTAATTATTTTTATTCTTTTTAAAGATTCAAATAGTTTTTTTCGGTGAGAATTGAATCTTGGGCATTGGAGTGTTAGGTGTTCTATGGTTTCTTCTTCATGTTGGCACCATCTGCATGTTGGGTCTGTCTCCATTTTTATTTTATGTAGATGTTGTTTTAGTCTTGTGTGTTTTGTTTTTATACGTGATAAACAAACATCTAGTTTTCTGTTTTTTGATCTTGTCCAATGATTAGGTTTGTTATCTTTGATGTAATAGTTTTTTGTGTTTAATATTTCTGTTAGTTTTTTTTCCCATGTTTGTCTGTTTTTGTTTTTTATTTCTTTTATTATATTATTAATGTCTTTTGTTATGGCAATAGGATTTGTTATTTCATGCGCTTTTTTTGCTGCTTGATCTACTATTTCATTGCCGCTAATGCCTTTGTGTGATGGGATCCATTGTATTTTGATGTTCTGTTTCTGTTTTGATAATGTGTGTATTGTTTGTTGTATTTCGTAAGTGATATGTTTGTGATTTTTGGGTCTGTGATTTAATATCAATTGTAATGCTGAATGTGAATCTGTAAAGATTACCGAGTTTGATATTTTATTGTTTTGAATATATTGCAGTCCCTGTTTTATTGCAAATAACTCTGCTTCAGTGATATTTATATTTTTTGTTAGCTTCCAGATTGTAGTAATATTTGCATTTTGAACATATATTGCTGCTGAAACTGATTCTGGTTCCTTTACTTTTGAGCCATCTGTGAAGATTTTTTGCTGTTCTCTATATTTTATATTTTCTAACATTAGAAATTGTTTTTTAATTATTTGTTCTGGTAGGTCTTTTGGTTTGTTATTTATGAATTGAGTTTCTACATGTTGTGAGATATCATACCATGGTGGTACTGGGGTTATATTTTGTACTATTTTAGTAGTTATATTAAGTCTTAATTCTTTACAGGTTTCTAATGCCCTGTAAATTAACAATTTTTTATCTTTCCTTGGATTATATTCATTGATATTCTTTAGTACTATTTGTTTTAATGGTGTTTTATTTGGTTTCTCTAGTATTTTTACTAGTTGTATACATTCTATTTCTTTTTTTCTTATTTCTATTGGAATTATGTTGGTTAATGCCTGAAGAGATATTATTGGGGTGGATCTAAAACAACCCGTTGCTATCCTTAATGCGAAATTTTGTACAGTTTCTAGTTTTTTTAATTCTGTGTTTTTTGCATTTCCATAAATGGATAATCCGTATTCTATCTTAGGTTTGATGTATATATTGTAGAATTTTAGTAGTGTTTCTTTATTAGCACCCCATGTGTATGAGGATAGTTTTTTCATAATATCTATTCTTTTTGAAGATTTTATCTTTATATTTTCAATGTGTTCTCTCCAATTTAATCTTGGTGCATCGAATCTCAATCCTAAGATGTCATGTTTATTTGTAAATTCCATTTCTTCGTCATCTATTTTTATATTAGGTATATTTCTTATTTTTCTATGTGTAAAACACATTATTTTGCTTTTTGTTAAATTTATCTTTAGATCCCATGTGGTAGCCCATTCTTTAAGATGTTTTAGTGCTCTTTCTAGAGTATTTGTTGCCTCTGTCAGATCTTTATTTGCTGTTATTAATGTTATATCATCTGCATATATTACTTTATTTATGGTTCCTGGAAGTTTTAAATCTGTTATCATTATATTAAATAATATCGGACTTATTGGAGATCCCTGAGGTACCCCACTTGACATTTTTCCTTTTTTAGATATTTCATCTCCTATTTTTATTTGGAATGTTCTCTCTTTAAGGAAATTGTAAGTCCAATTTAATGACTTTCCTGTAATTCCTATATTTAACATTTTTGATAATAAAGCATCGTGGTTTACTGTATCGAAAGCTTTTTCCAAATCTATACAGGCTAGTAATGCATATTTTTTCTCTTTAATTGCAATGTTTAAGTGTGCGTCTATTACTTGTAGAGCATCTATTGTACTTTTATTGGGTCTGAAACCTGTAAGGTCTTCATCTAATTTGTTGTTTATTTCTAACCACCAATTAACTCTTTTTGTTATTATATTTTCGAAAATTTTTCCCAGGGTTGTGATTCTACTAATAAATCTGTAAGATTTTGTTTCTGATGGATTTTTGCCTGGTTTATTAATTGGATTTATTATGACATTTTTGAATTCCTGTGGGTATTCTCCTTTATTCCAGTAATGGTTTAATTCTTTTAATATTTTCTGTGTTATTTTTTGTGGAGCATATTTATAAAATTCGTAAGGAATTTCGTCTGGGCCATATGCTTTATTTCTTTTACTATTTCTTATTGCTGAAGTTAATTCATTAATTTTTATTTCCTTATTTAGATCCATATTATTTGGGAGCTTTAATATTCTCTCTCTCTCTTCATCTGTCAGTATTATCTTGGGGGTCTTATTTACTGTATTTTCGTATTCTTTTTTGAATAGTTCTAGTTTTTTCGGCATTTCCGATACTGGGAGGTTATTCTCTATTAATGGAAATTTTGTTATGATTGTTTTACCTGTTATTTTTTTAAAGAAATTCCATATTTTTTTTTGAGGAGTTTTGAAATCTAATGTGCTACAAAAATTTTCCCATGATTCTCTTTTCTCTCTTTCTATTATTTGTCTTGTTTTTATTACTAATATTTTATAATCTGTTTGATTTTCTTAATTCGGTTTCTTCCTCCATTTATTAAAAGCTCTATTTCTAAGTTTTATTATTTCATTGCATCTTTCATTCCACCATGGTTTATTCGCTTTGTTTTTATTGATATTCTTATCAAATTTAAAACATTGTACTCCTGTTTTTCTTAAAAGATCTATGATTTCTTTTAGAGACTTTACATTTTCTGTATCTTTGTCTGTCAAAATCCTCTGAAATTTATCCCAACCCTCTTCTGTGTAAATCCATTTTTTTTCTTTGAAATGAGTATCTTTCATTAATTTATTATCTTTTATAATTATTGGAAGGTGGTCACTTCCTAGATTAGGGCCTGTTTCTATTTCTAAATGGGTTAGCGATGGTGTTGC